GTAGGTGCTGTCTCTTTTTGTTTGCGAGGATATTGCAAAAATATTTTTAGTATGGGGTTAAAAATGATTGGTATTGTAATATAATTTGCTGGTCGATTATGACGTTGACTGAATGTAACAGCTGACCACTGCTGTGAGGGAAAAAGCCACCAGGCGACTCTCCATTGAATTCTGGAGCACGTTTTTTAAGCCATTTCTACTGGGAGATCGCCAAGTGTCTAGTTTGACGGTTGTCTATTCTCAGAGAGAGAAAGCTGTGAGACTAAGCAAAGACTATTAGAATGGACTATCTTTTCGTGTGCGCAAGAACATTCCCCTTATTTTATGTTATTTGTGGGTTTACCTGTTTGATACTTCTCAAGAAATCGGTTTTTATCTGAAAATACCTCAAGTAGATATGATACATTTTGGTGTTGTTCCATCAGGATGTATTGCAGAATGTCTGAAATGAGAACGTGTATATTAATTCTTGGTTGATCTCTCGAGTTCAAAGAGGTTTAAGAAATGTTTCTTAAAGAAAAATGATACCTTGAGGACGTAGAAGTACTCACGAATGAAACTGAGAGTTTTTGAGTGGGAAAAGACAGCTGTACAAGAGAGATGTCGAGTTTAGGAGAAATCCTCTGCTGAACATAGAATTTTTGCTGATGCTTGCAGCCAATATTTCAGGAGGATTTTCTTGCACCTGGTGCACCAAGCCACTCAAGCAATCTCAGTGGAAGGGAAGCATGGATAAATGATGCTCATCAGAAACATTTGACACGTGGTATATACACATGGAGATTTCTAAAGAACTACCAGGTTGTCACCCGTCAAAACACAGCAATCTCAGCTCGGTTGAGACCATCAGTTAATAGTGGACAGAGGCTGGCCTCTGGTGGATGATTTCCAGCATCAGAGTTGTTTCATGGACAGGTGAGACAACACGCACTTATGGGTGAAGTCTATGATTCTCTATCCTGAGACATCTCTCAGCACAGAAAGGTTCCTCTTCATGTTGACAGTAGCATGTGACACCTGGTTTCATGTAGGGTTGTATGACGAGCCACTGTGAATAGTTCATTATTCTGTAGTCCTAGGCCAGGGTTCAATCATCTATTGGGGTTTTGGAATCTCTGTGAGTGGCTTCCATCTGGAACTAAAGACAATAGTGGCATCCATCAGGGTTGTGAGAGAGAAAAGCTTTGGCCTGTCACACAGGGCCCTGTGAGTGAGGGCAAGCTAACGATGTCTATGATGTTCAAGGAGGCTGCAAGGACATGGATCAATTCCTAAAAAAATTCAGGCAGGTCACTGCCTGGAGTGGACAAAAACAGGAACAATCTTTACGATGTCTGATCCTCAGAATGGATGTTCTGGACCTCGATGATGTCAAAAACCTGTATGAGAAGCAGCAATACGATTGTAAAACTGTCGCAGAGAATTGAGCACTTTATTAGGCTGAGTTCAAAGCTCACAAAAGAATCGTCACCAAGGAACTAATCATATACGTCGACAATCTGCACCAATTACTTAGGAAGCCATACCTGCCAATGGTCCCAACAGCTCAGAAGGACACCTTGATGAATAAATTTATTGGAGGACTACCCAATGAGCTTATGTAACATCACACAGGAGTAAGGGACATCATCACTCTCATGGAAGCTGTGTCTGTAACAACATACTTTGAAGTAGTAACTTCAAATTGACCAACAGAAAGAAAAATGCACGCAGCAATATCTGTAATGGAATTCCTCTGGTGGAAGGTGCAACATAGGTACCTCCATCAAGGTGAGCTAAACCCAATCAGTGGGTAACAACCAACCCCCTCCACAGGACAGAAAAGCAAGATAGCCACACTGGCCTACAGTGGGTGGGCTATGCAAGTCCTCCAACAAGGTACCTGACACAACAAGGTTTGTCGATGGGATATGTGCCACAACAAGGTCTACCCAATGAATACATACTACAGCCATGGCTAATGCTTCCATCTGGACACTGTCCAAGATGGGAAAATTGAAACTTCTCCTTTGCTTGTGAACTTGTAGGACACTAACAAAGGAACTGCCCATAATTTACAGCACAAGAAAAAAGGTAAAGTTATTGGTTCCAGTCAATGGTTTAGTAGTTGCCTGCCAACACATAATATCATTACTTTGTTGAACAGCAATGTAGGCTAGGGCATCGATACTGATAACTGGATCATCAGATCCAGGATGACCAGCAACAAGGCATTAGATTCTGTGGTAAATGCTCAGTAAAACTGACAGAGCCCAAGTTGAGCTTAACCACCAGATTGGGGAATATAGCTGGCAGCTTGCACCAAAGAATTTAGTGGTTCTTCCAGCTCTGTCAGGTCTGGGTGGAGTTCGGTATGTACTAATAAGGGTACAAGGGTAAAATATTGAACTCCTAATAGACACGAGAACCCTCGTTGCGATTTTTCAAATCCTTTGAGCGAAATCATTGCGATGTCCAGTGATTAACAACTTTGTTCTGGCAAATGGCAATAAACTAGATACTAGAGATAGATCTCCAGTTTAGTCTAGGAGGGGTCACTCACAGAACAAAAGCATATGTTTCTGATCTTGGGTCTGGAATAGGCATTCTTGGGATGGATGTACTGGATGGTTTATCAGTCAGTTTTGCCTGTGCAATCAGTGAGCTGATGATCTGAAGGAAAGTCATCCAATGCTGCCCAGACCGTGCCCAGGAACAGTGTATGTAGCAAATGGTATAATGGTACCTCCATGTACACAAGTGGTGTTTCATGGTTAAATCTAGATAAGGTCTAATGCGTCAGTGCTATGTTATACACTTATAAAAGCTACACGTAAAACGGACTGTTTCCTGTCCAAAAAGCAGGCAGCATTAGCTCGAATAGTAATCCACTTAACAAGGGATGAAGTTCTGGTGTTGCTTTGTAATTATGGATAGCCATCTGGATGCTCGAATGGTTAAAGGTATAGTAAGCAAGGTAGAAATGACCAATGCTAGCGGTAATGTTTGGCAATATACATACATAAACAATGACATGGGTGTAGCAACACAAACATGCTATAAACATTACACAGAGTCCTTCATAGATATTTTAGACAAATTGAAATAAATGAAACAATTACTCACAAAGAATGATAATTAATAACAAAAAGATAAGAAGAAAATCAGAAGAAAACAAAAAGGTGTGAAGAAAGAGTTTTTGACCTTGATGCTAAGAAGAGATGAATATGAGGTTAACTGTGATGAATAACCTTAAACGTATTATTGAGAACTGCAGTGTACCTATGATTTTCATCAATACTGACAGAATGTTTGAATTTTGATGTTGTGGCATTTGGCAGGTTTGTGACTTTTTCGTGGAAGAGACAATTGTAACACACAGACTCCCACTATGGGAAGGGAGAGAAAACACAGTTTTAAATAAAACAGTTTCACCTAGTGCTTCTCATAAACATAGTGCAAAGATATTTTAATTCAATCAAGTTGAAATATTAATGAGTGAGTGAAATTTTCAGTAGTTCATGAAATACACAAATGCTGGCTTAGGTATCATAACAAATATATAGGTTTGGTTGTTGTTAAGTGCAAAGCTACACAGTGGGCTATCTGTGCTGTGCCCACCACGGATATCGAAACAACAAATGTATTGACGCGGTGTACCTTAAGTTATATTTGGTTATGATAAGAATATTTTCAATCGTGCATATTGAAATAGTTTTAATAAGCAAACAGTTTTACTGAATATTTTTTTAACATTATTTCATTACAAAACGCAGTTCTGAAGTATAAAAATATTGATTGTGAGTGTAATAAAGGGAGGCGGAAGTAAAAGCTGCACAATGAAACATAGTTCGCACCACAACCGCTATACAATATGTATATGGAAGAAAATACTTATGGAAAGACAAGGAAAGCATTGGCAAACACTAACGATCAAAGCTGAGATAAGTGGAACTTAACCCGAGTCAACTTGACTGTGTAGGTCCCGAAAAATCAGTTCTTTCCTGTTGGACCTTATCTGTGTTTACGTAACAACCAGCTGGTAGACTAGGGGTGAGGCTGGATCTGAGAGTTTGTCATACATGTTCCAGGTGTCCAGATAAACTGGGATCACATATTTTACAGGCAAAGGTGGGCATGAGTACATGTTAAATCTGTAGACATATCGTTTGACCAGTACCTAATGCACTGTTGTAACTTGCCATTATGACCCCTTTAATCTATTCACTTGGCCCATTAGAAGTCAGTCCACCTTTGCATTTGAGCCCAGACTTTTAGTATTCAAGGTCAATTTCCTGCCACAATTGGTCTTCAACTAGCCAATATTCCTGACCTGTCCCACGGTTCCTGTCCTATTCCTGTTGTTCTTGCCTGAAGACTATGATACAATATGGCTTTTTTCTTCAACCTTTGAAGCCTTGCAGCTGCTCCAGGACACAGAGACATGATAGAGTAGGAGAGTGCTGGGTTAATGATTGACATTAGCGAGCCCATGGATGAAGATGCATTACTTTTGTTGCTTACAATGTTAAAAATCCGCGAACTTCTGTGAGCTTCCTCCTTTGTCAGAACTGCTCAGCCTAGATTACCTGCATCCCACTCTTGCACATAAGTTCTCATGATCCGTGGCTGCATTGTCACCTTTTTATGTATCATCATTAAACATATATAAGACAATCCTCACTGTTTCTGCATTGTTTGACATAATTTGAGTAAAAGCCTACAAATATATATATATATATATATTGATGCAAAGACGTGTCAAAAGACGCAAGTACATTTTATTAAACCAGTAATGAATAACATGCACAGGATGATTTATGAAAATTACACAAAGTTGTTTTAATACACTTGAAGATCCAATATTGTGATAACATTACATGTAATTTTGAACTCAACACTATATTATTGATATATGGGGATTTGGGATGCTGTCGTAATATTTGATCTTCATGTGACTTATTTGATGAGCAATCTGAATATATAACCAATTTTTTCTTTCATGTTTTTCTTCTATGAAGTATGCATCGGCAACCAATGCTGAAGACTAGACTTCAGAGGTGAAACAGTTAAGAAGCAAAGTAAGTAGTTTCTGTGACTTTATTGCTGAACTGAGTAATGACTTTATGTTCAGCCATTAACAAGAGAGTTTCTTGTTTAACTTAATTGGTGTGGTTTTTTTGATCAATCAAAAACTAAAGCTTTCATAGTAATTAACTATTAAACATTGTTAACCTCTTGACAGTCGGTCATTATTCATTTGATGCTTCACATTCATGGCAAGAATTGCATGTTGAAGTGAGGAACAAAAACTGTGATTAAGAAAATACACATTCAATGATTACCTTAATTCACATTCAATGATTACCTTAATACACATTCAATGATTATTTTAATACACATTCAATGATTATCTTAATACACATTCAGTGATTAACTTAATACACATTCAGTGATTACCTTAATACACATTCAATGATTATTTTAATACACAGTCAATGATTACTTTAATACACATTCAATGATTACCTTAATACACATTCAATGATTACCTTAATACACATTCAATGATAATCTTAATACACATTCAATGATTAACTTAATACACATTCAATGATTAACTTAATACACATTCAATAATGACCTTAATGCACATTCAATGATTATCTTAATACACATTCAATGATTATCTTAATACACATTCAATGATTATTTTAATACGCATTCAATGATTACTTTAATGCACATTCAATGATGACCTTAATGCACATTCAATGATTATCTTAATACACATTCAATGATTATCTTAAAACACATTCAATGATTATTTTAATACACATTCAATGATTACTTTAATGCACATTCAATGATTACCTTAATACACATTCAATGATTACCTTAATACACATTCAGTGATTAACTTAATACACATTCAATGATTATCTTAATACACATTCAATGATTACTTTAATACACATTCAATGATTACCTTAATACACATTCAATGATTGCCTTAATACACATTCAATGATTACTTTAATACACATTCAATGATTATCTTAATACACATTCAATCATTACCTTAATTTTCTTTGAAATTGTTGAATAAATAGTATTGGTTTGTTAATCTAAAAAAACTGATGAAACTAATACTTTCGACAAGTAGATCTATATTCAAAGGAAATGGGATATTTATTTGTGAATGTATAATTCAGTTGAATTAACCAAAATTAAGGCTCACATTATTAGTTACATGCCTATTCAGGTAACTGGAGATCTTTTATATAAATCCCTGAACACAATGCATTTCTAATATGGAACCACATTTTCTATGTTCTTACCTACTTAAGAGGTGTCAGTTTCAATCAGAAAATCTGGATAAATTAATGCTCAAATAGGTATACATAAATTGTTGACCTATAATATAACTAATATATCAGTGCACTAAAATGACTAAATCATAAAGGCCATTGTGAGAGAACAAATTCTACTTATATTTTGTTATGGTTTTGTTCACCATTCATTTATTAATCCGTTTATCATTTAGCTCAACTATGAGTTTTTAGTTATATTAAAGAGCTAACTCATCTTCTTGACAGAGCACGTTGATTTCGAGTATGAATATATGTGTGTATTATGAAACTGACACAAGCGCCCCTAACGGTGACGTATAGATATTAATGTTGAAGCGATTACATAGATTTATGCTAATAGCTAGTCACAGAAGATATAACTCGTGGTCTAACCACTAAATAAAAGCCCTTCCTTGATCTTAAATGAGTTAGTTCTCGAGATATATTTATAATTATAGCTAATTACTGCTCAATATTGTTATTAATCTTTAGAAGTAATTTAATTTTGGAACATTGTATTTTTTATTGGGAACTAGGTTTTTCTTCTCCTGTTTTTCTTCCTAATCCCTTTATTTATTGAAGTTAATAACATTGAAATTTATGTTGTCTTGTTTATTAACATTTGTACCTAGTCCATGGGTTTACTAACTGTTTTCGTAAGAGATAAAATTTGTATTGTAGTTGTTATAAAGTTGTTTTTGGATTTCTGTTATATTTTAATAAATTATTTTTATTTGACCCTGGTTGTAGTGACATTTAGTTTTAGTCCGTTACACCACTAGCAACTTTTTGTTCTTAGTTAAAATAATGCACACTGTGTCTTCTATCTTGAAACAAACAGTTTCTAATATTGTTGCTTCTTCCTTGAGAACCTCGCATTGTGATTAACCTTTAGTGCAGAGCCGTAACGAAAGCTTCGTGAAAGTGAAGACACAAGTTAGTAGAGCATGGAAACCTTTTTCTAAACTAACATTAAAAATTTGGTTATTAATTATCAATCCTCTGACATGTGTTTTAAAGACCTCTAACTTAATTATCAATCCTCTGACATGTGTTTTAAAGACCTCTAACTTAATTATCAATCCTCTGACATGTGTTTTAAAGACCTCTAACTTAATTATCAATCCTCTGACATGTGTTTTAACGACCTCTAACGGTACATTACAACTTTTTGTTTACAAAGAAGTTAAACTGTAATTTCCTATGTTCTACTTTGACTCCTCTTTTTATATTCGTCTTTTGTAGTATATAGTGTACATTGGAAATATTTTTAACAAGCAGAACTTTCTTTAATGAATTTGAAAAGATATTTATTAATGACTTCATTCACAGTTTAAGGATATTAATGTCATCAGGTTCACCAAAACAATTTTCAGTGATGATAGAATTTTAGAAAGCTGAATAATTTCTATGGCCCCAAAAATATCAGGAAACATATTCAACATTTTTATTTACTTACTTACTAAACTTTATGAGTTTAGCCCTTTAATTTGACTATTCTCAGAATCTAAATTTAGTGTTTAGAAATCCAAAATAAATATATTTTAAAACAATATTTTACTTTCTAGTTCATTAATATAAATAATAAAAACTATATCTGTAATTTTATCTCTATATCTTCTAATGGTGCATTCATATAACATTGAAGACAAGAGTTACTACTTTATTGAAAACACTGAGCTTAATTCCACTGGAAATCTATATTCTCACTGTTAATAAGGTTTTTCACTAGCTGTTATTGGCTAAGAAGCCTTTAGAATGTGTGCAACTTATGACAGAAGTCCTGTAAATACAGGTTTTCAACATTATGAAAGTTTTTGAAGTTCCAAGCTCAGTATAATAATGTACATAAGTTAATAAAAAATATAATTTGTAGTGTGTGATATTCCTTAGTGCTACTGAATGGTTAATATAAAATGTGTTACTCTTTGATTGCAATTTTACTACAGCTATCATAAACATATAATTTAAGGACTATACTAAACTCTAAAATAAAAATAAACCACTCAAAACCAGCTCTTATCATTCAAATATTTCTCAAGCCTCCCTTTAAACTTCTTTAAAGGCAATACATTCCAAAGGCTAACCATTTTGTTTAAAAAAGAAAAAGTTGTCTTAGCTGAAGATGACTCCTAGCCTGCCTAGTCCTACCATTCTCACCATTAAGTGTGAAAAAAGATGATGCATCAACATTATCAATTCAAATCTTAAACACCTCAATCAGATAAAACAGAGGTCTTAGCCTACCCTGTGTTAGTATGCTCATATGACACTCTTTTCATTTTAGGTATCATCCTTCTTTTCTGAACCATTTTCAAAAATTCAATGTCCTTTCTAAGGTAAGGAGCTCAAGACTGAACACAATACTTCAAATGTGGCTTAAACAATAACCTGTAAAATTGAATTCATCATTTGTATGGATACAACCTAAAATTCTATTTGCCCTGCCCCTAGCCACAGTACATTGCTTGGATAGCTTAAGAGATTTTATCAACTACTACGTCAAGATTATTTTCTTCTATAACAAAGGTAAGGTTATTCCCATCAAAATTATACGCATAATTCAAATAGTGATATCCTACATGTATTAACTTGCATTTATTATAATTAAAAGCAATCTTCCATTTGATTGCCCAACTCACCAACTAATCCAAATCCTTTTGTAAAGCAGCAGCGTCCTCCTCACAGCCAGCAACGCCCAAAACGTTACTATTATCAGCAAATTTAAATAATGTATTGACCATTCTTTAATGTGTGTCATTGATATTAATAAAAAAGAACAAAGGTCCAAGCAATGAGCCCTGAGGAATCCCACTTGTGACTCTAATCCAGTTTTAACTGAACTCCATTTATAACGACCCTCTGCTATGCTCCATCCAGCCAGTTTTCTATCAAATGATACAACCTATCCCCCACACCTACAGAAATAACTTTCTTAACAAGCCTTTTATGTGTCACCTTGTCAAATGCTTTCTGAAAATACAGATTCACCGAATCTACCACCTTATCCTCATCTACATAAGCAATAACCTTTTCAATGAATGTCAAAAGATTTGCAAGGCGATATTTTCCCTTAGTGAAACCATATTGACTATTCAATAAAATTTTAAACTTTGTTAATTGATTTGCAAGGCATCTCTTATCAAACTTCCCAACAACTGATGTAAGACTAATAAGCCAATAATTACTTCGACAATTTTTATCATCTCGCTTGAGAAGAATAGTAACATTAGCTATCTTTCAATCCTCTGGTACCTGCCCACTATTCAAGAACTGACAAAAAATAGTAGTAAGTGGCTCACATATCCAATCTTTAACCTCCTTCAAACCCCTTGGGGAAATATTAACTGGCACAGAAGCCTTATCGTTCTTTTAACTTTCCAAACGTTTTTAAATGCTCGACATGTGATCATCTTGTTCGATCTTGTATTTATCTATCTATCAACTGTTCAAGATGAGGAATATTGCTTATATCTTCATTAGTAAAAACTAAAGAAAAAGCAGAATTTAATAAGACAGCCATCTAATAACCATCGGATATGAGCTTTCTTTATCACCCTTCAAAAGTCCTACCGCAATCCTAACATTTTGTTTACTTTTAATATATTTAAATAAATCCGTACTGTTAATTCTTACATTTTCAGACAGTCTTTTTTTCATTCATCCTTTTTGATGTCCTAATTTCCTGTTTGACCAACTTTCTTGATCTTCTAAATCTTCCGTCGTAC